ACTTCTGTGGAATGCTTACAAAAAAAGTGCACAAGCACTTCATATATTCACCTACAGACATCAAAATATTCGCTATAGCGTGTTATCGAGCGGCTCGCTCCATTGAACAATAAAACCCTTTTGAGTTTTGAATTTCTAGATCACTAAACTATCCTTTGGCTGGCATTTTTACTAACAATGAATAGACGAGAGAGGAAAATCGAGTTACGAATTTCCACCACCGAAGGCAGCAGAGCGAAAAATTGATCAGTCATTTTAAGAGTGCCCTTTCAAAATAGGGTTAAATTAGTTTAGTAGGTCCACCTACACTTCCCTCTTAATGTATTTAAATATAATTCACTAAGGAATTGGATCATTCCAGAAATAAAAATTATTTTTTAGGAACCATTACAAAATAGAAAAAAAATTTTAGAGTTCGGGATGATAGTATTAAGTCGTTGCCATGAATTCATTTCACGTCTTCATATACAAATACTGATTTCAAATTTGTTTTCATTATTTAACTTATTTAAGTGAATATCATAAACCTAGCATATCAGTTTGTTTAGATGTGCGTAAAAAAATAGAATTTATAATATTAGCAATAAAGCACAATCCACAAAAATTATAAATACTGCCGGTGGATAAATTCACCAAAAAATGTGAAGTTACTATTATTAGTACAGTCATGAGGTGGGTTTATGGTGAGTAGTTAGAAGAGAACCTTAAGAAACAAAAGTGAATGGGTGTCAACTTGCGCTTTTACCCTTCTCTCGGGGTGGAAATGATTTTATCAAAATAAACTGATGGAACTGGCACCTATTTGTATGGTCTCCACAATACCAAGTTTATTCTACTACATTGGAGAGATTCCAGAATAAATTTTTAAGATATTGTGCATATAAATTAAACATATCGCATTTATTAATCATGATTATACAGATATTTTAAAAACACTCAAATTGAATTTGTTTAAAAACCTGACGAGATAACTCTGATTTAGTATTTCGTTTTTAAATTAATAAATGGTTTAATTTGTTGTTCTGAACTTGTCCAATCTAATAGTTTATATGTTTCCTCAACAGTATCAGATATGTTGATCTGTTTTATATACCTTTTCACAATACAAATTATGGTATGCACTCCCCATTGAGTGAACATTGAAAATTTTAAATGGAAACAATTTAGAAATATTTGGTCTCTCCTTGGCTTCATTTAAAAATCGAATTAAAAGAGCTTGACAAGTTGTAATACTTTTTTTGTTTATTTTAATCCATCTTGTTTCTTCTTTAATTAATTATTTTGTTTTATTTATAAGAAAGACTTTAATTTCACTTGGTTTGTAAGCAATTACAGAGATAGATTTTTATACTGTATGTTAACATATATGTTTTTTTGTAATGGGAGTAATCTATGCTTATAAATTAAAAAAAAGACGTTAGTTACCGTTTTGGTAATTGGATATTTCATGAATCAACTAAGTATTAAATACTTGAAGGAAACATTTAAGTGCATATACAATATCATCGTATTTGCATCGTTCGGTATAAATGCAAATATCGTCCGCACACTGAACACTTTTAAAAGAAAGATCAATCATTTAAAGGCTATGGAGATCAGACATGTTACATATGGGGCTAAGTAAAAAACTACTAAACTTTCCATACTTTTCTCGATACCGTACATTATTCTTATGTAAACTTTTTAATTTGCCATGTCAATGCCAGTTAAATATGTTTTTAAAACTATAGTTGGTAAACTTTTGGCGAATTCTCCTGCATACATGGATTTTTGAAGCTAAGCAGCGCCAATGTGCGAAAGCGTAGATAAGGTCAAACGCCAAGAAAGTTCTTCCATGATAAATCCACCATAACAAAAGAAAGGTACATTTAAATAACTGGCGACAGACTTGATCCTTTCGAATTATTTAAAATACGTTTGCAGAACTGAATGGGGCACAACAAAAGTTTCCAGAGTCTTATTTGGGGCATAAAAATAACATTTGAATAATTGAAATACTGGATGAATATAATTTAGAGAGTGATAAGTGAAGCATTGAGATCAACTTATTTGAATGACGGCGTTTTGAGCGCGAAAATATAGCTTAACAAAACCGAACGAAAAATAAAACATTTTAAAGCTAATAAAACATTTAAGGGTTAATTAAATCAACATTTGTTTCTGAAATATTTCAAATACCGTGTTTCTTACTGGCAACAGAAACAAATATATAGGGAATATTTCATTTATAATTCAGCATAATTATATTCATATTCTTTGTAGTTCGTGTAAACCTATTTTAAATTCAAAATGAGAGAATAAATTATGAAGAAAAATTTAAGTAGTGCAAAGTGAAGGCACTAAAAACTATTTGGAAGCAATCAACATATTCCTTGTAAACTAGGAAAGGCCACTAACAAAAAACAGCCAGATTCTGTCATCACGACAAAATATAAACAAACACCAATTCACATTGTTCTTCAGATCTCTGAAAACATATTCTTGGCAGGCGGAGACTACAAGGCTATATACATAAACTCACACTGGGGGGAAACTAGATAAAGAAGGCTTTTTATGTATATGGTGACACAATTTTAAACACATACCCACAGGTGACTTAAAGGCGTATTTTTGTTATGTCTGCTAACAGAACACTCTCCTTTCAGACAATTACTAATACTAATAATAAACTAATAAATAAGAAGTAAATATCTTACTAAAGAGAGACCTGGAAATAAACAACTTCACATACTAAATAAACCAATTCATAAGAGAAGCTGCATGAAAAATAACTCAGTCAAGGAAATAAACCGTCGTAGTCATTAACTACCAATCGAACAAAAAATAATTAAGAGAAACAAAGAATAAGACGTACATGGCAGCTGTGGATAACACCACCAAACAAGACTAATTTGCATACAGCTGTAGCAGAGTTAAAAACATTATTAAATTATGACAAAACCAATAGCATACACATATATCTCAGACATCTTACACCTACAGATGCTATAGAATATTAACTGTAGAAAGTAAATAACCGAATAGAACCTCCAAACCACCAAATATTTTGCTGAACATCTTAAAACGATTTTCCACACATAACCTGCAGAAGAACAACTTAACATCGATAACAAAATCCAACATTACCTAGAATCTATCTACCAACTTGAAACTCCTCTAAAAAAATAATTATTATTGTGAGAACATTACCAGATACAAACTATACTTTGTATTAACCCAACTAGTATTCAACACCAATTATTAAGAGCACGATAGAAACCATTTTTAAGTGACAAACATTCATCAAAAGTCTGGCATTGGATTACAGCACTCTACCACTGAACAAATTTATTTTACTAAGTTTACCAACAAATATACAAATCATTGAAATAGAAAATATTGCTTTGGAATTTTTTTAGGCCCTCCGGTAATTCAAAGAGTATGTATATTGTCCTCTTATACAAAATTAGAAAAAATTGTTTTCTAATAATTACTTCCAAACCCTAATGTCGTATTCTGCAATACATCCTCAGAAGTCACAAGATTATGTTTTGCAGATGAGTAATCTGATCTAATCACAAAACAATCCAGTTTGTAGCTTCCCAGAGAGTCTAGTGCTTATCTAAACGGCTATCTTACATAAAACTTATGTAACTCTAAGTAAAAAGGTATGTATCATAGGCTATTCATGGAAGAAAATACATCTTTACCAAAAGGAAATAGGATAATAATGACCCACACTTAAATCGACGCATTAGGATGGTATACCCGTAGCGAATACTGGTGCACCAGTATGGATAAACCGTCTACATACTCACCGTGTTGATGGTTCCAATACTCAACCAAGCATGCGAACTGTATTGGGCACAATCTAGGCCTCGCCCACTTACTAGGTTACAGCTTTGAGTTCATATAAGCTCCACCCAACCCATCCGCGGGAACATGGCCCTTGTCAGACGAAATTTACAAAAAATCAATTATGATCCTGAGCTCCGCTCCCATGTCGGAACTTCCCGCCAGGACTTAACATGGCTCCGTTCAAGACACCGCCTCTTAAAAACAGCAAAAAGGCTAGTAGATCAAAACTTTAATGTAATGACACGGATCGTGGACGGAGAACAATGAGAGAATATACGCTGCACCAGCTAACTGTGAACATGCATGTATTACAAGCAAACCTGAGGGCTTCAACCAACCGAGACGAATTTGGACTCCACACTTTCAAATAGAATAAGGATGAACTGTAGGCAGATGTTCCGACTCATCTATTTTTAGATGGGGAAAAAATACATCCATCACCAAATTGCGACTGCGGCGCCGAAAGGCAAACAGTAAAAACACATGGTAGAGCAATGCCCGATTAGATCTATAACGGTAACCCTTCAGATTTCCTGGCTGCTACAAAAGAGTCAATCGAATATATTTATAATCGAGATGTTTGTTTGTAGAATAATATTTTTGTATTTACTGTTGTTTGTAATTTATATAATTTATATTATATGTATATATATTATATGAACCTGTGATGTAGTCGTACGCTAAATAAAATAAATAATAAATTCTTGTACATAAACTGGGTAACAGTTAGTGATAATGACAACTGTTTGTTAAAAATATGTATATTCATATACGAAAATTCAATTTAAGGTATGAAAAAGGATTGAACATTTAAAAAACAGGAAAATAATTTATAAACACACTACAAACGCTATTAAAACAAAACTTACAACTGCCAGAAGGTAAATCAATCATTGACAATCGTCCTATAAATGTCTTGGTTTGATTTATGCTGTTTTGTATGGATAGGCAGGTTAAGTTTATAGTCTTATTTTGTGTGAGTTGAAAATGGACGTTATATAATAAATATTTAGTGAATAATATCATACTTGTGCAAAGATCTAGCGGATGGACTGCATATTATAAAATAATTGCTTTATACGAGGCCTATTCTTTCTGTTCAGTCTATTCAGTATTTATCTATTTATTTCCATTAAATATATCTAAATCAATTACTATTTTAGGTGCCTTCATTCAACGGTTCCAGCCATCTGAGATACCGTGGTCTAGGAGAAAGTGCTCTGACCTGGCTCGATCTCGACGTCACGTTCAAACCGACAGCTCCAGATGGGCTTCTCATTTACAACGGACATAGGATAGATGGCAGTGGTGATTTCATAGGGCTCTACCTAGATAATGGATACGTTGTGTTTACTTACAATCTCGGGACTGGATCGGTGTCGGTTAGAAGTCAATACAGTGTGGTCATTGGAGAATGGCATCAGGTGAGTCCAAAATGATAATATATCTTGAGAAAGGATGAGAGTAAAATGAAGTTAACATAGTTATTTCGAGAATACTGACATAAAAACGGTTAGTAACTTAAAACAATGCTGAATATTCAAATCTATTCACGGTTACTTATGCTGAATTTAAATATGTTATCTATTTAGTATCATGGAATAACTAAACGATGTTGGTTGGAAATGTATCGATTTTACAATAATAAAAAGGCTCGTTTTTTGTTTTACGTTGTTTTTTATTGTATTTTTCTGCTCTTTCATTGCATTGTCTTCTTTGTTTCGTTGTTAAGATGTAATATTTATTCTGTCATCCATTGTTGTTTCTTAAATTCATTTGATCCATTGTGTTCTTCTAGAATTTCCATGTTTTCTTAACACCTTTCATATAAGTTTTATATAAGTAACCTTAACGAGTTAATATAAAGTTTGGTGTTTTAAAAAACGACTTGTATGGCTACGTTTTTTATTATTAATTTTGTATAAAAACTATGCTTCTTTCTTATGATAGATTGCCAAAATTCATTTATCTCTTATTAAAAAGATTTATTAAAAATTCAAGGTTACGATATGGTTACGATACTATGGTTACTTATCATCAAGCAAAAAATTTAAACGGTCGTTCGAAAATCCCTTTTAAAAGCACCAGAAAAATACTAGATTTTTATTGCAGAGCTTTCCCAAACAGGCAGTTCTGCTGGCAAAATATTCTCCTGAATAAACAGTGTCTTAAAAGAAAAATGTATCAATTTACCCGAGGTTTTGTGGAGATTTGTTTATCTTTACTGGCAAACATGGTTGTGGTCTGACAGCTTTTAGTTTAATTAAAAATAATAAAAGTGAATAGTGGACGGAAAGTATTACTGTAGAGGTAAAAGGGCAGATTTATTGGAATTCACAGACTATATATACAAAGTAAAGAGTGTGTTTGATAAAACTTAAAGAGAATAACAGAAAGAAACACTTTTATTTAATTTGTAAATTTTTTAACAGTAGATATTAATTTTATTGCTTAAAAATGATACGTTGTATACTTTATGTTAAATTTTGTGTTTCGATTTTCATTCCGGAAATTGTTCCAAAAAAAGATAAATTAGAATTTTGTTAAAAATAATGTATAATCAACAAAAGTTGTTTATACAAAATGTCATTTCAAGAAATTAAAACATTACGGGTTTATTTGTAAAAACTGTACTGACGGCCCAAAAATTATGAAATTCGAGATCACGCTATAAATAATGCTAAAATTAGAAAAGCTTGTGGTCCAGATGATACACCAACTGAGTTACTGAAACTAATAGAGAATGATAACATAAAAATAGTAATAAGACATTTAATTCAATATATAACACCGGAGTGATTCCCACAGATTGGCTCAAATCCATCTTTGTAGCAACATCTAAAAAACACAATGCGAGAAAATGTTCAGAATATCGATTAATTAGCCTAATGACCCACACTCTGAAACTTTTCCTCAGAATACTTCACAACAGAATTAGACGCAAATGCGAAGAAAATCTTGAAGATAGTCCAATTTGGTTTTAGAAATGCTATGGGAACCAGGGAGGCCACTTTTTGCGCTTAACATCCTATTGCAAAAATGCCGTGACCAAAGAAAAGATGTATTTGCATGTTTCGTGGACTTCGAAAAGGCATTGGATAAAGTACAGCATATAAAATTAATGCAAATACTGAAAAATATCGGAATAGATGACAAGGATATTCGTGTCATTAAAAATTTGTACTGGAGTCAAACTGCTGTCGTAAAAATGGGAGATAACTACACCGATAAAAACCTCCATACAACGAGGATGTCAGACAGGTTGCATTTTGTCGCCAACATTGTTCAATGTTTACTTGGACCAGTTAGTTAAAAAGACACTTGAGTAACAACCATATATATAATGAATAAAAATCAACAGGGAACTACTTAATGTGATTAGAAATGCAGACCATACAGTAATTCTATCAGATAATTTTAAAGGTCTTCAAATTCTGCTTGATCGTATTCACGGGGTAGGAGAGGAAATCGGCATTAAAATAAACTCAAATAAAACCAAATTTTTAGTGTTTAGTCGTGATCCACATCCCGATGCATGTTATGCTTTTTAAGCATAAATCCTGTATAAAATAAAATGAGGCGATGTATTTCTCATTTTAAGAGATATTAACGATCCTCTTTAAACATGTGAAAAATCCAATTTTCAAGTGTTTTGGATGTTTTAAAATACCCATTATCAAATAAAGTCAGTTTCTATAAAGTTGTTAAAAAATTAAAGGTTGTGCGATTATTGTAATTTTTTACGATTCTCATAAGATCACTTCTATTGACCGACCGCTATAGAATTTCGATTATTAGATCCTAATCTTCAAAATATTTAACATGAAATTTTGATTTTAAGTTCTCTTAACATATGAGGGGCATTAGAAGTATGTCTAAAAAACACTAAATATGTCACAAACGATTTTAAAACGTTTAAAACTCCTTCTCGGTAGAAAACATGGTTTCAAAAGTTTGTATGAGAGATGGGTTTACTCAAAACTAATTTCAACCATTTGCTAATTATGACAATTTTCCAATATCAAATCTTCAGAATTCATATCCGAAATTGGACAGTATAATTTTATCACCCAGTAGACCGAATGAATTTATTTGTTATTAAATACACACTCGTAGTTAATTAGGTTAGATACACATTTGGTCAATTATCAATATTATAATTTGGCACATCAGTCAAAAGTGCTGACAAAAGTTTAAACAATTTGAACAAATTAGATACACATATCACGCGAGGTCCGCGAATATATTGACCCAATTAAAACTTATAAAAAACCAAGATCTCTTGCCTAGAGAAGCATTCAATCAATATTCACTCAACAAACTTGATAGTCTTCAACGATCAACTTCATCAGTCTCTACTCAAAGTAATCCCGGGTCAACACCCATAGTATACGTCTCATCAATAAACTCTGCTACTATTATTTGGTGTTTCCATTACAACTAAACGAACATCTTCACTGAGCCAACGAAGGAGAATTTGTTCATGGTCTTTCGAGCCGGATATGAACCAGCGACCTATCAATCTATGTAAAATGTAGACCTATGTAAATTCTATCCATATCAATAACACCAAGTAGTTAAGACACGTTTACTACAAATTTTCTACTATTTAATTTTAACGTACTATTTATTCTTCATTCAAGCATAATCTAAAACAACTACTTTTATATAATTTTAAAAATATCTTTTGATAACTCTCTTTCTACGTTGCGTCGTTTAAAAATTATGACTAATTTTCCAATTTTAATTTAAAAGTAAACTTTTGATCACAACATCGTCCTGGCTGCGTTCAAACAAACGTAATAAAAATTTTCCTGGTCTCTTTGAAGTCTCGAACGTTTTTTATTAGTTTTGCATGCGAAATAATATTTTGTCTGATCTAGACGGGATAAAATTTTAATAAACGATTTTAAAAGTGATAATAGGTAAACGAATATTTTTTGTATCGGTTGATGTTGAATACAACGTTGTGAAATATTTAAGTTGGTAAGTGACAAAATTTACAGCAAATCATTTCCAACTAAGATAAATGTGTGTAAGATAAATTTCCAGTGTGTTCATAAATTATGGAAACGCATCATTATTAAAACTGAATAATCCCCCAAGTCCTTAAAATATATAACCTCTTTGTTATTTTTACTAATCATAAACATACATTTTTATATCAAAAATTAGAAGCACATTCCCTTTTTAAGTTCAGCTATCCCCATGCAGTGCTCTTTAAAATGCAGTCTGCAATGTTTTGGTTTTGTTTCACATCTTGGTTTAAATGTTCTTCTTTGTCTTCTGCTTCCTCTTTATAAGCAATTCTGCTTGTTTATTGGGGGATTAATACCTCTATTGTCTTTCCATTTTTTGCGCGGTCTTCCCATACTTTTTTTGCGATTCGTGATGTATCTCTATTTGACGACACGGGTCTGCTTCATTCTGCTTATGTGCTTATTCCATTTCTTTACCATTTTTCTGTTTAGTACTCATTCATTTATACACTTTACGTTACATTTTTTTCCAATGTCTTCACTTCTCTTTCGATCTCTCAGCGTATTTCCTGTAATTCTTTTAAGTACTCTCATCTCTACCATTTCCCTGGATTTTTAAAATCGATTAATGTAATATGCATTTTTATGATACCAGAACAGGAATAATTATTCATTAATTATACAGAAATAATAAATAGAACTCCAACATGGTTTCCTAACCGAATTCAAAACTCAGGACAGCGCATTATCGCTATATTTCTGTTATCTTAATGTGGCTTATCCGCGAACTAAAAATTGCTTACTTGGGCCTCAAGTCTCCGCTCTGAGCCAGGCTCAGTTCGGCGACTTGGTGCTTAAGGGGTTGGGCCCTACGTGCCCGGTTTCTTTAGAGTTTTTGTTAATTTTTTTTGTTGACTTGCGCCGTTTTTGTTAGTAATTTTTTAATTTTTTTGGTGGCCGAGGCCGGTTTTTTTGTGTATTTTTTTGGTTTTTTTTTGTAGGTAGCCTTAAAAATTAGTGCATCATCTATAGTATGACATTGAAAAATATGTAAAAATATGAAACAATATAATAATATAGAGCTTGTCCTCTTGAAGGTAACCAGGCCCACGTTGTTTACGTTCTCCTGAATATCATTTTTATCATTTATAGCTAAGAATATCTCGCACCGGACGTCTGGCTATCCTCTCAGTAGACAACCAACTCCCGATGGAAGTACTGAGCCCCGGCGCTTTCACGCAGCTTTCGTTACCTCAGAATCTTTATCTGGGTGGAGTACCGAACTTCGGCATTGTTTCGCCGCACATCAACGCAAAAACTTCATTCGTCGGTTGCATACAACAGGTAGAGATTAACGGGAAACCAGTCACGATTCTGGCGGAGGCGCTAGGTGGAGCTAACGTTGATAACTGTCCGCATCCTTGCGTTGCTAGACCTTGTGGCGAGGATGGCGAGTGTGTACCAGAAATGGAATACTTTTCTTGCAAGTAAGTAATTTGAATTGTACCATAATAGCTTGAACATAATTTTGAATAGCTCTATTGACAATTATAACACTATACTCGATACACACTATAACACTATTAATAACGATATAAATATTATTCTAAAAAATTAATCTTCATGTGTTATTTCCATTAAGGAGGTTGGCCACTCTTAACTTTCGAAGACACTGCTTTAACAAGTCGTTTTAGCTGCAATCATACCATTCAACTAACTTTTTAGACTAAATATTTTCTTCTTCGCATAATCCTTCTGCTCTCTACTTTGCCTAAGATTATAAGCAGTATTTGACATACTGGCAGAGGCATTGCAGGTTTTTTTATTATTATTAGCTTCTTTTTCTTTCTTTAATCTTCCAAATACATCATCTTTTGCAACGCAATTCACCCATGAGATCTTCAAGATCCTTAATTACATCCACATCTTTATTTTATTATCTCCCAAAATCACTCAATTTACTGCTTAACTACTGGTGGTGAAATATTTTTTTATAGATCGTTAGTTATACTATTTTTTCTTATTTTAGGTGCAAGCCAGGTTACAGAGACCATCTGTGTTCAAGAGGCCCGCCGTTTTTCCACGGCACTAACAGCTATATCCATTTAAACGACATAACAACGATGGACGCTATCTCTACAGATCCGTTTGTAGTGAATGTCCGATTTAAGATTTCCTCCAAGTCAGGATTGCTTTTGTATGCTTTAGGAACTGACAGTTTTCTTTCTCTTGGATTGGAGAATGGAGCTCTCGTATTGCGGTTTAGTATTAAGGAACGAGGAGAGGAGATTAAGGTAGTTCATAATTCTACGACGGTCAACGATAAGTTGTGGCACAGGGTAAAAGCCGTTAGGTAAGTTTGAACTCCTTGGTATTTGAAGAGGTAACATGCAAATAGTCTAAAGTCACACAAAAATCAAAGTTGAGTTAGATTTGCCAATGTATCGCTCTGTTGTAGCCAAAGTGGTTTATTTTATCTGATTCATACAAAAAATATTACCAATGGCAAAAGCATGTTAAATATCACCTTTACATGCAAAATAACTTATTTCCACTGTACTCGTCCGCGCCTTTATCTATGTCCATACTAGCCAGCTTATTTTCATCTAGAAAATAGGAACTCTGCAACTGCTACTCCTCATCTGACTCAGTGAGTCTTACAAATTTGAGATTATATGAGGGTTCATTGTCAAAGTTTTAAAAACTTAGTAATTACTTTATTATTTAAAGGATAATGCATGGGGCAGATGGAAGGTGTAAGTGTTGGCGAAGGAAATAAAGAGACTACAAAGAGAAGAGTTACAGGAGGAAAAAAGAAAAGTGAACAAATTACTAGGTATGAACCTCCTAAAAGAGCCCCAGTTTTTGTACCTTTTAAGCACAAAAATAAACTTTTCACGTGCGTACAAATAATCAACGCTTTTATACGCGTTGCAAGAATTTACAAAGTTTCAGACATGAAAAGACAAGATAATATAATTATTGTTAGTCTGATTCATACAACACAAATAAAAAAACATAGGCCTAGGTCGGTAAACAAAAACAAAAATAAAAAACCTGGACCTGAGCGAAAGTACTCAATATAATACTTTTTTCCAACTATCTGGTGCTAAAACTTTTGTATATTTAAAGATTTTTCGCATTGTTATTGGTATTGATGAAACTATAATAAAAAAAAGCCAAAAAAGTGCATTTTTAGTTTGCTGTTAAAGGGAAAGGTGACTCTACCAAAAATAAGAAATATCTAAAGAACAAAAATGCTGAGAGTACATACAAAAGCTCAGAGGAATTTAATCGCATTACACAAGATATATACAAAATATTCTGTTGGTAAGAGGCTTGAAAAACTACAAGTATATCTGAGAAATATCTCAAAAAAAAAGGGAAAAAATAATCTTAGACAAGTGAGACTGAAAGAAGTCCCACTTCCTTATGTGTTAACCAAAAAAAGACAAATATGTTCACAAACTTTTTAAAAAAATGTTTTTCTGACCCAAGCCTTGGTTGGTACAAGAGTTTGATTTTTGATGAACCTATTACAGCAGCTGCTTGTGAGAAGCAGGAAGTAATGAGTGACTGTCTCGACGATGAGCGCTGTGATTTCCATATTTAAAAAAAAACTGTTTGTTTGTTGCATTAACTACCTATTATAACAATTTTTGATACTTATGTAAGGCCCATAATATTATTTTATAAAAATAGAAGTTCATGCAGAAAACCATGTTAATACAAAACCATGTTTTCCAAAACAAAATAATTTTTTTAACAAAGAGAGAAATCATAGGATTTCCACCTGCCAAAATCGAATTCAAATTTTTACCACTTGTGTTTTCTAAAACTTGCAAAGTAAACAGCTAGATAAATTACTCCGCAAGGAAATCTAACATTGCATTCCACATGCCGTTCATCATGGTCAAAATTTGTAGTGAATTTAATTTCTGGTACTTCAAACGGAGTAAAGAAATAAAACATGATAACGTACTAGATTTAGACCTCTTTAGGTCTCCTCAGAGCGATATAGCCACTACCCTCAGAGTTAACTGCATATTACTTAGCACTTGTAGAAAAGTGTAATGTTGTCATTGTTATTTCTTTTTAAATTTAAAAATTGTTTTTAACATTTTGTTATTACAGAAGTGGATCTGCCGGTCTGCTGATAGTTGACAACGGACCAGCAATCACGCGTCAATCAGTAGATCTATCGAAAAGAAGAATATTCAACCCGAAAGAAGAAGGCCTATACATAGGAGGTATGCCCCAGACCGCGCTCCAAACGCTCACGAAGTACACCACCAGCATCATCGGCTGCGTAGCCGACCTAGTCATCAACACCGATCTCCACCTACAACTGATCACCCATTCGGAAATTGGCCACAACGTGAGCGAGTGCGAAGCATGAACGAGTCAATTAATCAACAAAAAAGTCAATATTTAGCGCAATTGAGACCAAAACGGCGCCCGAGTTGCGACTTCATAAGAGGGGCCTAGATTTTTAGATGAAGTGTGAATTCTACTGTCTGGAACTTTTCCTATCTTCACTGACATTTGTGTGCTAATTGTGTGAACAAAAAACATAAGGCTGATTTACCGAAAAAAAAATATTCTTTCTCAGATGCGGCAGTAACAACTGATAGTAGAGTAGCAATACCGGCATCTTACCGTCAAAAATAAATATTTTATATCCATAATATAAATATTTATATGATATATATTTGTAATTATTATCTGTTAGGAAATAGTGAATCTATAAGAAATATTAGATAATTTAGCTGATGTTAAGCAATTATACTCAAATTATTTATAACTTTAGTAAAACTGCAAAAAATAAAGTTATTTCATAGAGTGGTGAAAAACGCACTTGAAGTATATGTTCGATTAAATTTTTTACAAAAATGATTTATACAAAATATTTACTTACATATTTTTAGATCAGGCATACAATAATGTCATATTGTGGCACTAAAAACTGTCAAATTCCTTCTGTAGGTAAAACACGCACAGTCATGCAATTTTTTAAATTTGTGTTAGCAGCAAGAATGATTGAATCAAATCTCGTTGTCCCTTTAAGAAAATTATCAAAAAATCTTAATAATGGCAAACATCTTTGAAAGTTTATATTGGATTTAAATTATTGAAATGTACTGTTTTCTTTGCGCTAAATAGGCTCGCCATTGCAATTATTTCCTGTACCTTGTACGAAATGTTGTTCTTTAAATGTTTATTTTAATTGCCTCTCGCTGCACGGTGAAAGTCTCAATACCTGTCACATTACCTGTTTGATCAGACCACATTTTGTCGGCTTATTTTGATTTAAATTCTTTTTCTTTATCTTCTTCTTCTTTACAAGCAATTCTGCTTTTTTATTGGCGGATTAACTCTATGGGTTGCTTGAATTAATCCCATAAATAAATTGAATGAATATTGAAACCTTCAAGCCATCCTACAAAGAAAAATATTTGAAAAACTAAATGTTTATTTTAATTGCCTCTCGCTGCACGGTGAAAGTCTCAATACCTGTCACATTACCTGTTTGATCAGACCACATTTTGTCGGCTTATTTTGATTTAAATTCTTTTTCTTTATCTTCTTCTTCTTTACAAGCAATTCTGCTTTTTTATTGGCGGATTAACTCTATGGGTTGCTTGAATTAATCCCATAAATAAATTGAATGAATATTGAAATCTTCAAGCCATCCTACAAAGAAAAATATTTGAAAAACTAGGTCCGGGAAGAATAATAAATATCTTGGTTAAAGAACCTCAGAATCTGGTTCAATACAACATCCGTGCAGATGCTGCTGCAGATAAGATAAAGATTGTCATGATGATCGCCAACATTCGTAATGGATAAGCAAATCAAGAAACTATATGGAAGATAGTCACTCCATCTTTTGCACGGTTGTTCGATACGTCTTCTGCCGATTGGTGACTTATTTCTTGCTATTTTGACGATACAGGTCTTCTCCATTCCGCTTATATGGTTATTCCATTTTTTCTTTTGTCCATTTTATGTCTATTCATTTGTACACTGTACGATACATTTTCTTCTAATGTCTTCACTTTCTTTTAATTCTCTTTAATTCACTTCTCTGTAATTCTTCTCAGTACTCTCAGTCTGCCATTTCCAGAAGCCTTTGCATTGTGGCTGCGTTGGATTTTCTTTCTGACGCATGTCATTATTGGTCTTACACTGGTTTTACAAATTCTTGACTTCATCTCGGTGTTAATGTTTCCGTTTCGCCAAATAGTGTTAGGCACCCTGCCAGTCTATTTGCTTTTTGTACTTGATCTCTAACTCCTTTGTCTAGGTCTCCATAACTAGATAGTGTAATTTCCAGGTATTTTATTTCTTTACTTGTTCGACTGATGCCAATAATTTCTATTTTACATCTGGTTGGTTATTTGCTAACAATTAATGTTTTACTTTTCTGAGATGAGATTGTCATATTAAATTCCGTTGCTCTGATGATTTTCTTGCTGTCGTGACTCTTTTCCATTGCAAAAAAATTTTAATGCAAATACCGTAATCTATCAAAAAAAAAATAAAACAGAGGTAGAGAACAGAAAAAGGTGCATTTCATTTAAAAAGCATTAACGAATAATAATATTAAGGGAATCAGTGGTATAATTCTTAGTACTTGTGTGAAAAAGGACTAAGAAATACAAAATTTATGTGGAATTGACCACATCACAATGCTAAAATTTATGGAAGCAGTTATAAAATTAAAAAAAAAAAAGATAAATGACAGGATCAGATTAAATAAAAGTAAAACGTCACAAACACAAACAAAAATTACAAAATTGTTTAAAAAGAGGGCTGCAACAACTGTAAAAACTTTAGAGATATCACGTTAATAAAAAAAATTAATAAATTAACTCTATTTAATCATCATCAGCAACGGTATTCAGCTTCTCGTGTCCACTGCTGGACATAAGCCTCCCTAATAGGCCTCCATGAAATTATATTTTGCGCAAGTTGCGTCCAGTTTTAATCTACCGATGCAGAAGTGTAAAACGTTGTTTGAAAATATATAAAACGCTGCTTGAGAAGATGTAAAATGTTGGAATAAAGGAGAAAAAATTTCCAAAAAGGTTTCCCTACAGATGCATCGCTTGATGCATGCAAAAAGACATGTGCAAAATGGGCTTTTAATCGCCATAAAAATTATCAAAAATTAGCAATAACAACCAGACGACCATAATCCAATACGCATATCAAAAAACAAGCAATTAACACAGCAATACCAAACTGCCATTAACAATATATAGAAATACTCATTTACTGACACTAAAAGTTTGCTTACAACATTAAAGAATAAGACTAAAACATAATATATGTTAGACGATAAAGAATAGATGGTGAGAGGAAAAACGGAGGCTAGAAGATTAGTGAAATGGGCACGTGTTCTAGACACTTACAAAGAACTTTGTGAATTGTTTTAAAGAAAAAGTGGAGGGTTGTTTCTCTTACATATCAAAAAATATTGAGTTAAATTTATATTATATGATTGATCTAATTACTAGAGGTAAGCATAGAAGACAAGATTAAAAAAGTAGACTAAATTGGTAAAAATAGGTGCTTATGACTGGCAAATAAAAACAATTCTAAAAACTTAAAAAATGAAAATTAACACAACATATAAAAGAAGTTAATGGTGTAGTAATCACAATTTTAATTTTGCTCAAGAACATAAGATTATTACTAAAATGCTATATGAGCTAAATAGCCTAGTCTGGTTAAAAAAAGGTCGAAAAACTGTTAGACATAGGTGGATATATTTTAAAAGCTTCAGATATCTGCAAAAAATGTTGCCGTGAAATCGATGATTTTTGGATAACCAGACTGAACTAAAATACAATTTAAAACTGATAACAAAACAAAACAGTCTTCTTACGAGTCTCTCTGATGACGGGTAGACCCAGAAACACGTGTTAGAGAATGGTAAGAGACTCAAATTAAATTGAAACACAACAACCATCTACGTATATTTATTTTGAAAACAAAACGTTTTTTTAATAAATAGAATTTAATTGATATCTAAAATCAACAGCACTAGTCCAAAAATAATTACAATCTATTTTTCTAAGTGCTAATAAATTGTAAAACAAGAAAGATTATCCAAATGTTTATTAATATTTATAATATTTATTTACCTAAGTTTTTCACTTATAAAAGCACAGTTTGCTACTCTACTATACCGTGCCTTACACTTGTATCCAAATCAGAAATTCTTTTAAGGCCGAAACGTTTGTTACCGTATCTTCTAAAAAGCAAGGGTATGGTTCTGTAATTTTAAACACTTGTTATTTATACATCGTTAAAACAATAATTTGAATAACCGAAATATTTAAACAAATTATATCTACATTAACGAAATTTTATAGCCGTGTCAAACGCCTTCGAAAAGCTTATGTAATCACGCTTTTCTGCAACTACTTACTCTCTTGAAACATTAAAAACCACTTTTTTGAAAATGTCATCGAATTTCGAAAAGGATAGCTGATATATTTGGAAATGGCAAATAAAAAAATGTTTTTTTGCTTAATTCTATTTTATATACTTATTTAATATTCAAAACAGTTAAATAACTTTAGTTGGACTCAATTTATATTAAATGAATGAATTCAAAATAAAAGTACTCTAAAAGTGTGTAAAGCATTTCCTTCTTAGCTGAGAGCTTTTGACTTTCAAAGCTATCTTCAGAGCTATACTACAATGTAAATAGCTGAGAGTTTTTGGCTTACAAATCAATCTTCAGAGCTATGGTACAAAAAAATGCTTTGTCAATTTTAAATAGTTTTTAAAAAGTCATTAGATAGATCACTGTCCATAAGTAGGTATGTACAAAACATATCAGTATTTTTTCGTGAACCACCGGGTTTGGTTACCACCATCTTTCACAAGATTGCTCAGGATTTCTGGGAGCACCACTAGGAAATGAGAGTCGGAAAACTAAATTAGAATGAAGGGGATGAGTGATGCTAATAGCAAACAGCATTCTATACTTGCTTCACCACCCCATTCATATCCCAGGTATGTATTTTTGATCTCCATATGTGCATCAATTTTTTTTCACGTCTTATCCCAGATGTCTCTATACACTAGGCAAACAAATACCATGTTCAGCAAGTTACAAATGGGTTTTTTTGGGTTTTTTGGGTACTATTGTAACGATTAATTTGCCTAACACATAGAGTATTACTATACGGGGTTGAAAATTGGGGACAGAAATTACTGGGGATAGAGCTAGGACAAGCAAACAATCCGAAACGTTGAGAACGGCAACGCAGGGTTAATTTGCAGAACTGGGTCGTGGATAAGTGAATGATAAGGTGACTAAATGGGGTAACTATCAAAAATGAAACAAAAAGGGGGTACTTACATACATGAATCTTCTGG